AACAGACTGCGATAAATAGATAGATAATAAACATGCAGAGATAGATAGATAGATAGATAGATAGATAGATAGATAGATAGATAGATAGATAGATAGATAGATTTGAACAGACTGCGACAGACAGATAGATAGATAGATAGTGTTATGGTCCGGTTCCTTGTACCACGGTGATAGTCCAAGGTAGAACCAATAAAAAAGAACTCGAAAACGGATATGGAATAACACAGATATATTACAAACAGGAATATATACAGAGAAGTAGAAAGTGTTAGTATGAACAATCAGGTTTAGTAGTAATTGTCTGAACGCGACTCTGTTTCGGACTGCCTCTGACTCGACTGACTGACTCGCTCTGACCGACCGACAGACTCCTGACGGACTTCTCTCCAGACTTCAGACTGAACGGTATTTAGTCCCCCACCACGAGGGTATCATGTGACACAAGGTCGGTTTAACGTGGGATCTCCGAGCCCGTGAGCTCGGCCAAAAATATGCTCTTTGAACCCGTATAAACGGGTTCAGGGTCGGTTTACCTCCCCGAAAGAGACTCCGCCCTTCGGCGTAGCCTCGTTCGGGTTCCTCTCCACCCGAAGGCAGAGAGTTCAACCGATCAGCCGGTCAGCCGGTCGTCCGTCTTCAGACTGAACTCACTGCTTCCTCTTGAGGCGCAGTATTTATTGTGTGTGGAATAGTCCATTATGTTATTATGGGTAAGGTCCCATAAAAGATAGATAGATAGATAGATAGATAGATAGATAGATAGATAGATAGATAGATTTGAACAGACTGCGACAGATTTGAACAGACTGCGACAGATAGATAGATAGATAGATAGATAGATAATGAACATGCTGAGATAGATTTGAATAGACAGCGACAGATAGATAGATAGATAGACAATGAATATGCTGAGATAGATTTGAATAGACTGCGATAGATAGATAGATAGATAGATAGATAGATAGATAATGAATATGCTGAGATAGATTTGAATAGACTGCGACAGATAGATAGATAGATAGATAAGTGCCCAATTAACACATGTGTTTCTGTGTACTGTTCCGTGTTCAAGCACGTGCGATCGGGATACGCGCATCAGCTTCTTAGTAATGCAAATTTGTCGGCAGCGGTCGACGTGCGCCACTTTTGAGTTAGTGTCTGTGAACGTGCGTCTCCTTGTGACGTGCTTGCCTTGCCTTGCCTAGCACGGGTTTGGTTGGAAGCACGCATACACCGAGTCAGATTGTCCACGCGGGATAAAAAAAAAAGAAAAAAGAAAAAAAAGAAAAAAGAAAAAAAAGAAAAAAAAAAAGTAAAAGCAGAAAAAAAAAAAAAAAAGATAGCGGTGTCAGAATGCCAACATAAATTCGGATCAATATTTCGAGACATTCCCTACTGGATTTTTCCGTGCAAGGTCAAATCCCCCCACCCCCTTGTTCTACTTCGTTTGCTCGGGCGAACGGCCGGGGAATGGATTTCTGTTTCTTAAAAGGGTCAGAGATCATAAAACTCTAGATCAGAGTAAATATAGCAGTTTCAAATTTTTATTAGCTTTTTCTTTCATTTTATGTCTGTTATCCTAATCACAGTAAAAGACGTAATAGCCTTAAGATGTTTTAACTCAGCTTTTATCATCTCGCCCCAAGCAAGCCAATAAAGCTACTAAAAAAACTGTTAGCATAATATTTACAAATTAAATACTAAAGTCCGAAAAGCTTATGTGATAGTTCCTAACAAGACATCTCAACTCCAGTTACTTTTTCATCGACGTAATATGGCTTACCTTTGTCTTTTCTATTTTCATGGCATCTGCTCTGACGAGCTTTTTTCACTGGTTCTTCAACTGCATGAATTTGGTTCTAGGTTGGCATCTCCATCAAATATCGGTTACATTTGACTGTTTCGATAGTAAACTATCGAAACAGTTAAATGTAACCACCTCTTCTACTCCAACAGTTTCTTTTCTTGCACTTCCCGACAGTGGAACTCCCTTCCTCTTACTTGCTTCCCTGATAACTATAACCTTCACAAATTTAAATGCAATGTCAATCGACTTCTTCTGATGCCTTGATCTTGATCCTCATCCTTCTCTTTATCCTTTCCTCAAAAACCCTTCCTTTCTCTTACTGTTGTACCATACCTACGGACGTTAATGCGTATGTCGCCATTCACATAAATACAGTAGTAAATACTGTATGTTGGTCTGCAGTTAGAGATTCGTCTCCAGCTGTTCTGGTCAAACGCTCTGTCTCCGGGCAGAGAGGATCCCCAGATGAGGCTATGTCGAAGGGCAGAGTCTCGTCTCGGGAAACAGCTATCTGACCGCGTTTTATAAGATGTCTACGGGGAATTTTTGGCCGAGCGTACAGGCTCGTATACCCCACATTAAATTCGGCCTTATGCCACATCTGACCGTGTGGGGCGGTTGGTAGATATCCTGCAGTTGGTGATTCGTCTCCGGCTGTTCTGGTCAAACCCTCTGTCTCTGGACAGAGAGGATACCCAGACGAGGCTATATCGAAAGGCGGAGTCTGGTCTCGGAAAACAGCTATCTGACCGCGTTTTATAAGGTGTCTACGGGGAATTTTTGGCCGAGCGTACAGGCTCGGATATCTCGCATTAAATTCAGCCTTGTGCCACATTTGACCACATGGGGCGGTTGATAGATATCCCGCAGTTGAAGATTCATTTTGGAATTCACTTGACTCACTTCTAACAGTTGAGTACTGTTTCTACGCGCCGCTGGCGAATCTTATATGTGTTGTTCTTGTTCTAAGTATTATCGTTCATTACCAACCTTCGTGTCATTATATTATTCAGTAACTTTCACTAGGTTGCAACACTTACTTTCACTCTCTGTAACCCCTTGTATGCTAGTGGAACTCCCGCCTTGCTTGGGGTAAAATATATATATATATATATATATATATATATATATATATATATATATATATATTTCATCCATGTTGTTGTTATTTCAACCCGTCTTTACATTTATTACACGACCTTTATTTACATTACTAATATTCAACTTACATAGGACCTGACCATGTACATTCCCTCCATATTCCCTCAGCGAGAAGTAAGTTCCACTCGAACAGCTTTTTCCTGTGAACCACTGACTGCTCTGTGAAAGAGACTCCCAAGAGGATGCTTCCCTAATCACTACAATTGTAACCTGTTCAAATCTAGAGTCAAACTATCCTATCCCTATAAACTACCCCTTAACGTAACTCTCTACCTTGAGTGGTCACTGGGCCTTGTACAGGGTGAACCCTACTGTAAAAAAAAAAAGAAAAAAGAAAAAAAAGATGTCTATAATGATGGAGTCTCCTCTCGTCTTTTGGATAACGGCTAGGAATAAGAGAAATAAGGGGTCCGAGTTCGTTTTCCAACCGGATTCGTTTCATTCCTCTACGCGTAAATACCCTTGGGGACGGTATGCATCCTCTTCTTCTCTCTCCAACCCCCAGCTGTAGGTAAATAGAAGAACAGACCGGGTTCTATAGCACTGTATGACAACTGATTTACCGCAGAAAGAAATGGCAACCTACTGCGGGAAAAAAATCTGCCTCGTCAGTCATGTATCGAAAGATATATGATCGCCTAAGCGTGTATCACGCATGGCACATAACTGACAGACTGACTTTCCAGTCGAATCCATTACATTCACTTACGTTCTAATACCCTTGGGAAAGGTATGAATCCACCTCTTCTCTCTCCAGCTATGGGTTGAATAGTAGTACTTATATCTGTAAAAATCATTGTTATTCCTAAAAAATTACTCATACAATATTCTCTCACACTCAAAAAAAGAATATTCTTACAATCTTAAATATGTTCCGGTTTTAACTAATCCACAAAGCTTTGATAAGCCGAAAAGAAATACGGGCTCGGATCAACCCACATTAAACTCGGCCTTGTGCATTCAATCCTCGTGGGGGGATCGATAAATACTCAAAGAAATAATCCTGTCGTTTTCGATGTGTGATTTTCTTACCTAAATAATATGTTTTTCAGTTCCTATTAATATTAACTCAAAGTACAAAGTTTGAAGTGCCTGCATGTAAAATATTTCAAATAAAGATTTATATTTAATATTTTTTTTTTGATATTTTCAAAATCGAGTTTCATATACCCATGGTTAGTAGTGGTGTAACTTTAATTGATGGTTAGTGTTCTAGGGTTAAGGGACTGACAGACTTTAAAATTAACGTAATTTTTACGTTGATAGGCTTCTCTGACGTTGCATTATTATTAAATATTTTTATATATAACATTAAAAATATTATATGTATAATATATATATATATATATACATTTTATATGATAATACTAACATACTAATACTTATACTAATATTAAAAGGAAATAACATTAAAACAGATATTGATGGAACACCTTGATAAAATTTTATAAATTTTGAACACCTGAATAATTTTATCATAAATCATAATTTGAATTCTATGTATTCACTATTTTCTTTAGGGGATTTATTTGTCTAAACTTTTAACTCTATTTCACTTTCCTACATCAAATCTCTATGTTTTACAAATATTGGAACATTTTCTTGAGTCCAAATCTTATTAATTTGCTGAAAGATTTATTCACACATATTTATTTTTGTAATATTTTTTTAACAGTTAAATTTTCAAAAAACAAGAACTTAAATTAACCACAATGTTATGGTAACAATGTTTACATACTTTTTCATTTGTTTTGATGATGTTATTATTGAGCGAAACGTTGAAAACAGAGTAAAAATTTAAAAATCCAACTACTTTTCATATATTCTGTTTTACATACTTTCTGCGAGTATCAGGAATTTTATCATTCCTTATATCTTATACTATTTCTGTTTTTTTTTTTTTTTGCATCGCTTAGTTCCTTAATTAGCACGTAGGCTACATTACTACCTGCGAATACCTCATAAATAATGGACTATTCCGTTTTGATAGCGTGGAAATACAGAAAAGACATATCAGAGACACTACTTGGATTCAGTGAAAGAAAGAAAGAAAGAAAGAAAGAAAGAAAGAAAGAAAGAAAGAAAGGTAAAAAAAAGAAAGAAACATCCTGCCAATACTTCATAAATAATGGACTATTCCATTTTGATTGCGTGGAATACTTGGATTCAGTGAAAGAACGAGAGAAAGATGGAAAGAACGGTAAAAAGAAAGAAATATCCTGCCAATATCTCATAAATAATGGATTCTTCCGATTTGATCGCGTACAGACATCCTCAGGTATGGAAATAGATTTTGTTCTTGTTTTTACTTCTCGGTAATGAGAGGACAACGAAAATAGAGATGTAATCCGAAAAATGCTATGAGAACAGACGAAAGCTTGCAAAAATTAAAAGACCTTATGCAACTGGAATTTATGAACAGGGATCATATCATTCATATACAGGTTCGGGGTTGGTGTATCTTATTTATATTGTTTGCGAAGATGTATTCTCGCCATTTCAATAATTAATCTCTGTATTTGTTTTTTGTATGAATGATTCATGAATTTATAAATTATAATTGCACCTTTAATTGATATATATATATATATATATATATATATATATATATATATATATATATATATATATATATGCACTACATTATTAAATTATATATTACATTCACTTATGTGCTATTTTTAGAGAACTGGTTACTGGGAGAACTCGATTCGTTTTAACGAAGAGACTTGCATCAGAAGAGACTTGAATCAGCAGCAGTAATAGCCACTGTTTACAAAATCACTTTTCTCCCCGATTGGCGAGTAAGGTTTCTTTCAAGCATGTTTCGTAGGATATGACAGACAAGGAAAATTTAAAGAAATTTTGATTTAGTTTTTGTAATATTTCTAAATGTTTCCATTTGTGGGCGTCAGGGCTTAATGGTTTTCCCATAGTGACTTCATTAGTTCGGATGTAGGCATTATTATTATGATCATAGAATGAAGCTTTTGTCGTTCAGCCGAGGAGTAATTTGTAGCGAGTTGCTGGTCAAATTTTGGAATAAAGACTGTGGATGCTTTTTTTTTTTTCATGTGCTATATTTCTGTAAGAAATTTGATTTTGACCTAATAGTCTGTCAGCATTAGGGCTGTGTAGAGTTTGTAAAGGGCTTCCTAGAGAAACTATATTCCCTGACTAAACCATGTTTAATGCTGATTACCTTACTATTACTCAAATTTCATTAATCCGCCTATTAAATAAGAAGCACACGTGGATTCAGATTTACATCAGCTTTACATCACGTGAACAGCTTTACATCATATATATATATATATATATATATATATATATATATATATACTTTATTTTATGATATTACACTGAAATCATGGGAAAAAATCGCTACACAATTTTAGTCGTGTTACGATGCGTATCAGTGCATCTCATCAGCCGATTGTAAATTACTGGTGAGTGAACGATTTATTTTGATTTTCATTTACCATATATATATATATATATATATATATATATATATATATATATATATTCGGTTGTTTGTGACCCTGATTTCACGCTTTTTTATATATATATATATATATATATATATATATATATATATATATATAATATTACAAAGAACGACAATTATTCATAATGTGTGACGTCATTTGTTTACATTTGGACACGCATCGAGCAGATATGAATGTATGAGAGAAAATTCATGGAGAACTGTAGTTTAAAATCAGTAAAATCGACCTTGTTAACCTAAACGTTCCTCTGTGGCTAAATTAGTTAAAAATTCGTCAGGCTATATGACGGTTCCATATAGGACACAGGTTCGACTCCTGTTGGAGGATGCATATTTTCTATGAAAATTTGTCGGATACTCAGTCCGGTAAATGTTGTTAATACTGTTTATTATAAATAGAGCATTTACTTAAATATTTGTATCTATAAAAAGAACGTATAAACATAAAAATGTCTTTATATATATATATATATATTCGGTTGTATGAATATTAGTTTGTGACCTTTGATTTCACTCTTTTGCTAAGGTCAGACAAACTGGTTTATTTTTTAAAAAATAAATCAGTTCGCTTGATGATAGCAAAAGCGTGAAATCCAGGGTCACAAACTAATATTCATACAACCGTATATGTTAACTATATCACAGATATCGAGCACTTCCCAATAAGTAGAGTGCATATATATATATATATATATATATATATATATATATATATATATATATATATATATATATATTTAAAACATGAAAACAATGAGCAGAAACTAAAAATTTTTGAAGCTATATACATAAAACAGTTGAAACCTAACCTGAACAAAATAAACTATGAAATCTCCAAAAACATTCTTAAATGCCTATAATTGGTAACAGAAGCCTTTGGTTTATACCAACGTCTTCCTATACTTAAAACTTCTCGTTTTCACTCTCGCGTTGTCATGTGTGATGTCACGAGCTGCGACGCGATTTTCACCTCTGCATCTAGTATACACTAGTTAGTCGTTGCTTTGAAATTATTCATGCAACAAAAACAGACTATATTATTGTTCCGTGTATTGGATGATATATTGTAAAGTAATTGTCATCTTTGATAATGGCTTATGTAAGCCGAAAGCTTAGATTGGATTTAAACATGTATCAATGTGGCGATTTTCTTTCATCCTTCAATGATAATGTTATTAAGCTTATCAGACAATATGAAAGGAACTTAAAATAAATAGACAAAACTTCTCTATATTATTTAATGAAATATGCATCTACATATATATATATATATATATATATATATATATATATATCTCTCTCTCTCTCTCTCTCAGCTCTCCCATCGATTTGACATATGAGGGTCAAGCATCTCATTTTCTAGGAACCGACAGCCAGACACCAGCACATATGATTTGATTATAGTGGTGAAGGCTTCGTGCAGGACCATCCACACTTTTTGAAGGGCCGAATTCAGTCTGTCCTCCTATTTACCTATAGCTGGAGGGAGAAGAGGATTTATATATATATATATATATATATATATATATATATATATATATATTTACCTGGATATCTGTATCTCATTCACTTAAACCGTTATTTAACTCCTCTCTTTAAAACTTTTCTCTGTTAAATTTTAATCTCCACCTTCACCTTTAGGCCTTCCTGTTTTCTTTCTTCTGTTACACCCTCTCTCTCTAGAGCTTTCATACATTTCCCTCTCACCTTTGTTTTCCCACTCCCACACATACGCTCTCACTGTATATGTTAACTATATCACAGATATCGAGCACTTCCTAATAAGTAGATATATATATATATATATATATATATATATATATATATATATATATATATATATATATATATATTTAAAACATGAAAACAATGAGCAGAAACTAAAAATTTCTGAAGCTATATACATAAAACAGTTGAAACCTAGTTTTGTTTTTTATACTGGGAGTTATATTTTCCGATTTCTTCTTGAATTTGTAGGTCTGGTGATTTGGATCGTATTTACGATTCCAATCTAATAAATTATAACCATGGAATATTAGTGTTTGAGCTTTTTTCAAAATTATATTCTTCCTCTGTCCTGGACATTGATTTCTACCTGGATTCTATACTATTGGGAATTTAAATATATATATATATATATATATATATATATATATATATATTGACCACTAATATTATCTATCTGTCTATCTATCTATCTATCTATATATATATATATATATAAAACCTTAAGCTGAAAATATAAAGAAGCTATTGCCTCTTTTTGCAATTACCATGTTTTCCTTGAAAATCACCGACGAAGATTGAAACTACATTTACCTTAAACTTTAATTTCCACAAATTCCTTTACAAGTTTTGACAACAGGAGAAACAATCCAGAAAACATTCAGAAGCCATTTACTGTCTTTTATTTAATAATCGAAAATGTTAGGATGAATGGTAATTCCCTAAGTATTATTCCAAAAGAAATAATGGCTTTATTTTTGATTGGTTCGCTTTATTGTGTTTTACGGTATATCAACCTCAATGAGTTATTTAATGCCGACAAGTTTTTACAATTAGCTCATATGAATAGAATATATATTGATATTTTTTCTTTTCAAAAATGTAGTGCTCGTATTTTGACTATAAAATTCTATTTTTATACTTTCATAATGTTTAGACTCCAGTTTGTGGGTTAACTATTTGGCCACAGGGATCCTGACAGCTATTACCACCCCGGGTCAGAGTGGACCTGTGAACAACAACAATAATGAGGTGGTTCCACGCCCCTGAAAACCTATCGGTCAAAAGCATTGCTGCCGGATGTAGTTTGCCGTCATATTCAGGAATATTCATTTTTGCTCTGTCATTTTTATTACATTAAATGTTATTTCAGTAGGTATTTATCAAGAAACTGTGCTCTCCGAAGATCACGTTTTATCACACACACACACACACACACACACACACACACACACACACACACACACACACACACACACACACACACACACACACACACACACACATATATATATATATATATATAATCGCTCGTTTGCAGGGTATATTGACACGTATGTCGATCAAATAATGGAGAACACTAAACTTTAAACTTTCAGATCTGCAAACCAATTACCATTTTAATTTATTATTATTAATATATATATATATATATATATATATATATATATATATATATATATATACCTGTTTGTGTGAATATTTCGATAGCATAAGTTCACTCAACCAACACTGAATAAAATCAATTATGACTATAGCAACAATGTTTTAAAATGTCTATAACTGCAAGGTTTTAAAATATCTAAATTATAATTTTTTTTTTCATGCTTACACGGCCATGACGATTGAGAATAAGTATGGCATCAATATACACTTTTATATCTATATAATAACCTCTTAAAAAAAAAAACTACAAATGGCGAACTCCACCTCTGTAAAAACGTTGTAACAAATTCGGATATGGCTCATTTACAACAAGCGGTAAAACAAATAAACGACAAGGAAATCAAAACCCG